CCCGCCCAGCCACGCAGTCTACTCACACATGTTCAGCCTCAGGCTCTCGACCACCTTGCGATCCACTTGACTTGCAGATCTCCCTTCCCAGGGCGAGAACTGCAGCTTCATCTCAAACGTGAGGCTTGATCCCGTCCTCATCTGGCTCCATCATCCTGGCTGTTCACGATAGTCTGCGGTTAGTCGAATACATGCGCTCAAAGCAGAGGAACGCGCACTCGGCGGTCGCTCAACGTCGTCCGCCTTCTCGAGTGCGGCTGACGATGCGGCGGAGCTTGGTGGCCGCAACCACCGCCCAGGTTCGTCCTGTGTAACCAACAAGAGAGCTCGCGTTCTGGCCGTGCTGCAGAACCGTGACGAAGATACCTGTAGTTCGGTGTCAGATAGCGAAGGTAAATAAGACAATGACTTGGCATACCACGTGCAACTGAGTCATCTCGGGTCGTGTGTCCAGCTGTCCAACGCGTTCGATAGCGACTCCGTGCAGATAGAAGCGAATAAATGAGCGATTTCTTCGGACCTTCTGCGCGCCTCTTCGGGTTATCTAGCCAACGTGACCCGCGCCTCGTGTTTATAGCCCTCGCTCCGCGCGCCCACTCGTCTACGACCGAGGGCTGCGCGATAGCGTACGGATTGCGAAGCTTCTTGGCGTGCTCGACGGCGGAGCCACGACCCGCCCGGTCAAATGTCTTCGTCGAAGAACTGGCCCGTCCACAAGCCTTCTACCACTTGCGTCTTCGCGTCGTACGGAGCGAGCTGGTGGGCATGAGTTGGCGCGTCTGAGCGCAATACCAGCGGGGGTGATTACGAACCTGACGGCGCATTCCAACTGCAAGCATCCCTCTCCAAAACTTGACTCCTACTCTCACTCTAAACCGCTCTTTGCCACGCAGACGGCCCCATTCGAGAGCCTGGGTCACTGGGCGCACCGGTGCATCCTGGGCGACCGCCCACATGGCCTATCCAGCGACCTTCCGATCCGCGGTTGACTTCGATGCTTTCGACTGGGTGTTGTATTGGCACAGACGAGACGTTTGTATGGAAAAATAATGCGGACTACGTCCTTATGCTGTATTTGGCGGGCTTTGGGTTCTCTGCTTAGCTGCATGCGTTGTAAGATAAAGCGAGGACTCACCTTGGGACTAATGTCGCGCCCTCTGCCGTCTTCTTTCCAGATCTCCGAGTTCATGACCACTCATCGTCCAAGTTCGCGGTTGGCGGAGAGCCCATAGCTGACGACAAGACGTTTGCGTGGGTGGATTCCAACATCTTGCGCGCTATTGAACGCGTCCCAGGAGGCGATACCTTCGACGTGCGCAAATGGCCTCGAGACTTAAGCTCGCGTTCGGCAGCATCGACGTTCGGATATGTATTCGCAATATTGCCTTCTAAAGACCACTCAAGCTAGATGCTGGTCAAGTCTGATGAGGAGCCCATGGTGAGTCCTGGGCGGATCATGACCAACGACGTACCGAGCAATGCGGCGTCCTCAGTCTCAAAAATGCCAAATAACACCCTCTCATGTACCAAAATACCAAAGAAAAACTTTATTGTACGTGCGGCTGTCTAGCTCCAGGTGAGCGCGGGACACAAGGACGTCTGGTGCGAAGGTCGTTTGCGTGAAAAGTGGATAGTGGCTTGCAAGCTGAAACGCACGTCGCGCCACAAAGGTCTCCGAGGAGTCTTGGCTGAATGTACCGCAGAAGATGAGTCAGGAATGGTATATGATCGCGGTGAGATGTTGCGAGCACTGGGAGGTCGCCAACGGACCTCGGGAACTCAACCTTGCCGGTGCAGGCTGATGCTTACTTCCGGCATCGCAGTCGGGAGAGGGCCTAAAAATCCACTTCGTCGGTGAGCCATAGAAGTTGAAAATCGGCCAACGTCGCAAAGGACGGGAAGTCAGAGTAGAGACTGGAGATGCAGCGAGAGCACGCGTCGCGCGCAGACGCCCAGCGAAAGTGGCGGGAGACACGTGCCACGGCGCATCAACTGGCGCATTCGGGCGCATCAGATCCTTCGTGGCGATGATGCCAACA